TACATACCTGTCATGTAGAAGTCTTTTATAGTTAGCTGAGGTGGAACAAGTGGGTCAGCAAGAAGTTGCTGGTTCACTAGCTGCACATAAAAGGAGACCAATAATAGTATTGAAAACTAGTACTGCTACACCAGTAGATATAACATTCTGAAAACTGCTCATAGCAAGCTTTTACCTTGGATAGCTCATTTGCTTGCTGGAAGTAATTAGCTCCTTCAACATCATCATATCGAACAAGATTAGGAGAGACTTCTTCCAATCTGTTTCTCACTTGATCCAGAGTATCATATGGAAGAGTTATACCCGCAATCTACAATATATCAGGTCTCAAAAAATGACTTAAAGCTTTAACACTTAAAAATGCCAAATAATATATAATTGTAACTATGGTGAAATAATGCAGTACTACTGAAAAGTCTACTGGTATCCATTAGCAGTCATATGTTTATTACGGAAGCAGCAACATGGGAAACACAAACGTCAAAAATTCTAATTCATAAACAATTGTCAGTATATTAGTAACTTATCTTTAGAAAATATTTGTTATGAAATAAATGATTAGAGACAATACTATGCTAAACCTGAATGCTTCTAACCTCTTAATGATATACAGTTTACGGATAGTATATTATTATGTTAAATCTCACAATGCTTATTTTTACACCAAAAAGAGCTAAAAGAAGTGGTTTTAGACAAAACTAAGTCAATAATAAAGGCACCAATTTCAAATCCCCATTTTCTGAACACAATTTTCCTACAGAAATTATTTCAGTTATCTCTGCATTTCAGACTGGTATCTTTCTTGACTTCGAAAAATCATTCTAACAAGCTAACATGTCAAATATCCCTTTAGCATTGTCTCTAAGAAATGCCTCAAAAATAATACCTCAGAGAGGGCTCTTATAATTTTCCAGTCTTCTCTTGCCAAGCCGGGAGGTGTTACTGCTACTTTAGTCTGCTGAGCTCTGCCCTCTGTATTGACATAAGTAGCAGATTTCTCTGTATAAGCAGCTCCCGGGAGAATAACATCAGCTATGGGAGCTCCAACATCACCATGATGTCCTGTGAGAAGATGGAAAATGGCAAACAACATTTTAGTAAAAAACTGATTTGCTATTATATATGAAGATTATAAATCCTTTTAAATCCCATTTGTAAAATTACAAAAGTGTTTTTAAAATTAAACCAATATAGCAATGAAGAAATAAAAATTAAAGCCCACCTCACCCCCAATTCAACTCCTTTCCCAAGGAAAATTACTGTTAAAGCATTTGGTATGTATCGTCCCAGATTATTTTATGCAAATATGTACAATATCATACACACATATATAATGGGCACCTAAGTATATTGATGCTTACAAAGTGGAAATGGTCACAAAATGGAAATGCTCAGATGTATCAGTTAGTGAAAACTGGTAGAGTAGACTGCAATGGGGGAGGAACACAAAGTATAAAAGAGAATATGAACAATAATAATACTGGAAAAGGCATAAATAGAAAATGATAGGCCAGGCACAGTGGCTCATGCCTGTAATCCTAGCACTTTGGGAGGCTGAGGCAAGAGGATTGCTTGACCCCAGAAGTTTGAGGCTGCAGTGAGCTACGATGATGCCACTG